CCCCTATCAGTCAGCACTGGTTTGGGTTTTGGTTTTGTTTTTTTTTTTTTTTTCCAAGCACCAGCTTAGAACAGATTTTTTTTCCCTAAGTATATTAGTTTTTCCTTGGAGTTTTTCAGTTTTTCTTTTGATTTTTTGGTGTTGAATAGCTTGTCTCTCCCTGCCCCTCCCCACCTACACCCCAAAAAACCCCCAAACACCAAAACCAACAACCCAAACTCTTGCAAAGTTATCTGCCTGGGTACTGTATTCTAAAAGTCAAAGTCAGTATAATAAAAAAATTTTCACTGTCTTTCCAGTCCAATGGATTATCATTTAGAGATGCTTCCATTAGCTTGGTAGAACTTTGCCTTTGCCCAGTTTATTTCCAACTTCTGCATTTATTTTACAGTTAATGGAGCTGATGAACTGCAAGTTTTTGATTAAAAAAAGATCAGTGAAACTAGGAATTCTGGGATAAGGGTTGCCAGATGTTATATAAACACTAAGGCAAAATATCTACATTTATTTTTAAACTGGGAACCATTAATTTAGTGATAAAATTTTGGTTCGGTGGCTTAATTTCAATCATCCCAAGTGACTGACAAAGATTGAATTGCTCTGCCTGATAGTTGCTGGCAAAGCTGAGCAATGTCTGTTTACTGTACAGTGTTTAAACGTATGTGTTTTGGTTTATGAAAACAAGTGTTGTATGGTAAGACTTTCCATCAATCTGATTGTTTTGTACTAGCTCCGTTTGCTGATAATTAACAGATCATTTTGTCTTTTAACAAATGCAGCAGGTGTTTCTCCTGATAGTTCTGTCAGGCAATACAAAGAAGAATAGAAAATGTAGAAAAGCAATAGTAGGCCAAAATATATGAAGGTAAATTGAAATGGAAATGATCAGCACAGCATCCTAAATATTTTCTGTAAAGCCATTAGTGAAACAAATTGTTTAAGTTTCATCTATAAACAATGTGGCCATTTTAGCTAAATTCTGTTTTCAGAATTGACAGTGAAATATCAGGAATAACGGAGACATTCAGATTTTGTAGAAGCACACATACTTATTTTCTGGAAGTTTACTGTTAGGGATTACTGTAACATAATGTTTGTTCAATTTGGAATGTGAAACAGAGCAGAAGAATTGTGTAGGCTTTTGAGACCGCCATGTACTAATACAGCGAAAAAAAAAAAGGAAAGTAAGCAGTGATATAGTGATAACTGTACTGATAATTTTTTTCCTCTTTTTGCATAGTTATAACTTTTAGGTAGCACCAAAAAAAAAATTTTTTTTTTAGTCCATAATCAAGAACACATTTCATTGATAATGTGCTTAATATCTAAAAGGGACTGGATCGAAGCTAACAATAAAATTTCAGAGTACCTAAGTCTTCTGAGTTCAGGTCAATTTAACTGGGAAGTTCAACTGCTGCAGTTATGACTGATGACTCCTAGTATTGTTTTCATATAACAAATATCTGCTATTGAACAATATATAGAAATAACGGGTTTATATTTACATTCCGAGAGAGAGCACGAGCAGCTTGCTCTCTACCCCTTTTAGCTTCTTGCAAGGACCAGTCAGGTTCCTCGCCATGATCTGAGAAATCTTTTCTTTACTAATTCAACTAATATTAAAGCAGAATAGAAAGAATTTTCCTCTTATGAAAAACATAACCAGGTTGACACGTTACATTTTTAGTTACAGATTAGTCAATTCCAACACAATGCAGAAATAGCTTTTGAATTGCAACCATTCACTTAATGTGTATTGTTGAACTGTTATTGGATTTGCAGATGGATACAATGTTGTCTCTGAAAGTCCCAAAGCATCTTCTACTGAAAACAAACAACTCATACAAGACAAGGAGAGCCACAGTGAAGGAACAGAAAGTCTTACCACCAAGGCCAGCTGGAAGAAAGAGATAGTAACATGGGTTCACCTAATTCGCTACCACAGTTATTTAAAAAGACTTTATAACCCAACCCTTCTATTTGGTATGAATTTTTCTTCCTTCTAGAAAACTGACATAGATGGAGATCTTGTTCTTGGAGGCCAACAGTGTCAGATTCAAAGGCCATCATCTGAGGAGATAGTCTCATTTGGAGTTCCTTTAAATTGTATAAATGTGAAAAAATCTTCACTGAAATCTAGATTTATGTCAGTTTACAAGTGTTGTAAGTGAAGATATTATTACCTTTTTTCATAATTATTCATAAGCCTCCATGATACCAGGAAATTCATCCCTCAAAACTTACTTGCTATTACTGTATCCGAAGCACTTTTAAAAAATTCATAATCTCTGTTTATTTTTAGTTCTAGATATGTCAGACTTAAGTCACATCAGAAAGAAATCTTTTCAGTTTGGGGTCCCGTTTGTGAGAACCGAGTGTAGTGTAAATGGGAAGGCTGAGCATTATTGAACGTGTTTTGACTAAAACCCCAGCGTACTGCTTTATTTCAGTGTAAACAAAAGATGGTAAAAGATAGGACCTTTCAAACGAGTGAGAATCCATTAATTTCAGGGCCCTAATACTCTGCATCTGCATCTGATGGCCTGCTGCTGGATATGTAAGTGACAACCTGCTAGGTGAGAACAGAACAAGGTTGTACATATAGGTGCTGCCCAGAAAGCAAGCTAGCAACTCTGAAAATGATGATTTCAGAGAGGGTGGAGTTTTCTCCTTGTGGCACCAAATGAAAGGGAAGTATTCCACCTCACCACAGAACCAGAAGGACAGTAAGGCATCTACAAGTAGGTGTCAAAACATGTGTATATCTCAGCCGTAGTCACCAGGGATGGAGCCTAGGAAGCAACTCAGCTGATCAGCCACGAGCTGTCTAAATTAGGGTCTTAAGAGCTCTTAGAGCTTCTTTTGACTGTATTGAATAAATTCACATTTATTCTAGAGGGTGCTTAGACATCTACTGAATGTACTGATGCTTGCACATCTAAATTTAAGTACCTAAAATGGGAGGTGCAGTTTTGGGGTTTATGCTACTTTATAACGGCTAGACAGAACTTGTTTCAGTATCCAATTTCCAGTGAAAAATTACAATACAAATAGCATAACCTGGTAATATTTAAGGACAATCAGTATAATTGTTGGCAATGCATTTACTTGATATTGAGTCGATTTACATATCTTACTATATTTTCAAAATTGATGACTATTAACTTGCTGTAGAAACTTTACTTTTTAATGGCAAATGATAATGTAATAAAAAATCTCTTTTCAAAGCTGCCCCTAACTCAGGACCTGGATCATTTACTACAAGAGATGGACACCATAGTTCTCTTTTTGACACAGGGATTGTTCTACGCATAGCAGAAATGCATTCCTTTCTTAAAAACCATTTGTGTGAATATTCAGTGTGTTGTCTTGAGAACTTCCCAGAAGAGCTCCATGATGTAGAATTGCCACTTGGTAGGCCAGCTGATCCTTCAAAGGTACTTATTTTCTTTCTGGTGTTTCAAAAATATGTATTATACTTGCATTTTGCTCCAATTCTTGCTAGTTCCAACGGTGACAACTTCTGAGAGCACTACAGAAGAATGAAATTCATTATGCAGAGGATCAGTGCAAAACCAAAATCCTGTGCAAGCTGTGAAGGACATAGTTAGCAAATGGAAATATCCTCATGTTACTCATTCCTGCAAAAATGATCTCTATCCCATGCCCAGTGTATTTAGACTCTAGAAGATTAAGCAGAGTGATATTTAAGATTTTATTATTAGTTAATTAAGTAGCCTGTGTTATTTGGTAGGACGGAGGCTTTTTATCTTGTAGATCTCCATGTTTCATAGCAAAACTGTCCTGATGTTTGCTCTGTCATTTGTATGTAAAAGCCTCTATATTGTTAACTTGGTCTATAATAAAACATGATTTTTAAAACACATATAATTTATATTTTCTCAAAATCCATTGAAGACCTTCTGTGCCAATTTTTTCAGTGATTATCAGCTGGCTAGAAAATCAATCTTTTCAGATCTCTGGCTTGTGAACACCCTATTTGAGCTTTCAAATGTAGACAGCTCAGACTATATTACTCAGAGAAATCTTGATCTGGAATTCTGCAGTCTACACTGACCATGGCATATGTATTGAATATTGAATGGTAAAAGTCTTTGAAGATTCAATGTAAAAATAATTGTCTTCAAAGTTTCCCCATCCCACTTCTCACATTAATAATTATCCTCATACTAAAAAATTAAAATGACAGGTTACTCTCTATGGTTTATTTTTTACCTATTATGTTCAGTATTAGATGGAGACAGGGGAGCCTTGAGGAGTGAGAACTTATTATCTTATAAAAATGGATTAAGATACTTTTGTGAAAGTAGCTCTTCTAGAGTTGGTGAACTTTTTGCAGTGTTGGACAGCACATCATTACTCATTTCCCAACAAAGAGCTGACTGTGCCACTGAATAAATTGTAAATATATGGTATGTGACATTTATAACAGCCATTGTATATCAAAAATTATTTTACTCTGTCTGCTCTTTTTTTGACATAATTAGTATTACACTGCCTAGAATAATAAGCTTCAGAGCTCGCTGTCATGTTCGTGACAGGTGCAAGCTGCATAATCATGTGTTAGCTTCACTGTTGTAGACAGCTAACAAGCATAAAGCTCTTACTTTTTTTAATTCTAAGCTTCATTGATTTTTATCAAAACATTTTTAGAAGCTTTAACTATTCAGAAGGCTGTAGAAGTTATTTTAAAAATGTTACTGTAATTTGATACTGGGATTTTTAACAGTACAAATAGATATGATTTTTATGTACAAGCTTGTTTCACTGACATGTGTCTTTGTGACTCTATTTTTGACTCTTGAAGTTTTTTTTTTCAGCTCTGCTGAACAAAGAATCCAAATTACATTAAGGCAGCTATAATTAAAACTGTGTGCCCTCTTACATTTTGCATGCTTGTTTTTGATTCTACTCCACGATAGTATGTAGGACTGGAAACACCTAAGACAGTTTGTTGTTTTCAGGCTTTTGAGAAAGTTGAGTAGATAAATATTTATGTCTGTAATTCAGCAACCCTCCAGTTTGACAAAAGCAGTTGTAATATCCTTCCTCAAAAAGATTTAATATGATGTAAATAATAAAAGATGCTGTTCAGTGAAAAAGAAAACATACCATGCATTTTAGAAAGAAATACATATTGTAAAATGGCCTTTTAAGAGCTCTAGTTCAGAGGCACAGCATAAATTAGGTTGTTCCCACCTCCATAGAGGTGTTCTCAATTAATTTTGTTCACAGTCCATGCTAGCAGGATAGTGGAGGATTTATTGCCAAACTAAAGGTCCCAACTGTAGAAGATCCTTGTAGAAGGTGGGTGATCCATGCACACCTCAGGGCGTACCACAGGTTGTGGCCACTGTTAGCACTGCCGCAGTGTTTAGAGTCTATGTGGCATGGATCATTCCCTGTTCGTTGTCCCATGCCAGACTGAAGGCATATCCATATGCTCGAATGAATGACTTCAGCATGCATGATTTCATCTTCACTTCTACTCTATTTTGATGCGGGATGGGAACTGGCTTTATGAAGTAAGATTACGTCACTGTGAAAAATCCATCTTCTGCTCGCCTGGATTTACTGCCCTGTATCGGTCATGAGCTGTATTTTCTGAAAGTAAAGTGGGTAAAATTCCCCAGGTTTTTTTCAGCATGAACAATCAAAATTAAAAAAGAACTAACTCCTCAGGCAGCTGTTTTCAGCATCCACACTGGAAGCAATGATGGAGACACTAACAACCTTTCAAATAGCTTCAGTGTTCCCCCCAAATGTCACTGTTTGGCCTCCTCTGTCCTTTGCAGATCTGCATAATGCTTTAAAAGGTAGAAATTATATGGCACTGTTCAACTTTTAAATCAAATATTTTACAATTAAAAAAACCCCTTTTATTCATGAATGAATGTTGGTTGACCGTAGTCCTCCGTTACTTCCCTGGTAAATGACAGCCAAACAGTAACTATTTGATGAATAGCCTGCTAATGTTCCATATATATTTTAGCAAATATGACATATGACAAATCCTCACAAATTAAGTGACTGAATTTTCAGTAGGTATCACCCTTTGTTAGTTGCATGAGAAATGAGAAAATTAATGCGAAAACAAATAGGGAAACATAAATAAAGCACTACTCTAACATTCAGATTGCTATTTTAATTAACAATATGTAGAGCCGACAAATTACTTTTTCAGCCCTAAATTTTGTATGGTCAACATGTCAAATAAACGTGATGCCACAATGAAGATAAGTCAAAGGTCACAATCATTGTTACTGTAAGTGTCTCTAGGTCAGCCCAGTGGTCCTTTGCATTACCTTTAGAAATGTCTCAACAGATGAACTTTGAAAAGCCTTAACTTGGTAAAATGGGCACCTTTTAAAACTACCCATTTATCTAAATAAGCATATATTTGTGCAGGACTGCAAGTCATACCGATTCTAGTAGACACTAGATTATAACAGATTTTGCATGTTACATTAGAAAAAATACAATTTAAAATTTTCTTCTGTGTTTCAGATGTCTCTTGAAATTACTGGAATTCCATCAAAGATGTCACATGTGAGAACAGGTTCTCAGGTTGCTGTCATCGCAGAAGCAGACAGTCAGACGGAGAGTAGGGCAGCAAATGCTTCAACCAAGGAAATTAACATTCAGTGGTACATTCCTCCTCTGGCAAAGCCATCAAACGACACAGAGACTAAGGTATAACTACACCAAAGCACTTCCTTAGGTGTTGGAACAAATTAAGTCTCATTTCCAATGAATATTTGTGTTATGAGTGATCAGCTTTTTAACTGAATTATACATATGCTGATTGACAAGTTGGCCAGCAGGGAGCTATGTATTTACTGTGCCACAAACCTGCTATGCAGGACAAGCAGAGTGCCCTGACAGTTTTTTGGTGGTGGGTCAAAGAACTACTTTGTTGACCATATAGAGCTTCCAGGCCGTGTTGTATTCATGCCTGTTGCAGGTCCTCGATGTCTTTAAGACCTTCACTCTATTAAGTTTGGTTAGAGCTGACTGATAACATTCGAACAATATTGTTTGGTGGAAGGCTGTTGGAAAAGCAAAGAGACATATATACAGGGAAAACGGGATTTTGTAAACCTCATTTCCCTAAGAAATCAGACTAAACATGAAAGAGGGTTGCAGGAAAGCAAGAGACTAAGACATGGAATTTGTTTTATTTTTAAACAAGAGAACAGCATGTAGGTAAAATTTCTGCTCCTGCAATAGAAATCCATGATCTCCAAACTTTTTGGCATAGCAGATCAGTGTCAAAATTTCTACTAGCCCTTTTCATCTCTATTAGTAAGCTGATAGAAGCCCTGTGAAGTTAGTGCAAATAATCTACTTTTCAATATAGTTTTGCAGGTTACTTTAGCATGACCTTGCAGATCATTAAAGATCCAGAAACAACTCTTGGAAACAACAAATATATGAATGCCATATTCTTGACATTCTCCATATAGTCAAAATATTCAGCTACCACTAGGAAGCATATTTTCAATCATAATAGTAAATTATTTTAGTGAAAGATGAGAGCATTCTATTTCATTTTCTTGTGGTCTTATATTGATACAGCTTTATTAGATTGGTGAGTTATGTGCACTTTACGGATTCATACCTAACGTGACGACAGCCATGCACAAGGCCGTATAGCAAATTTAACTAATTACACAGGGCCTTTGGAAATTCAGTAAAAGCTCTCTGTTCAGCCTACGTGAAGATGGAAGTTTGGACATGAACATAAGTGGGATTGATTGACCAGGATCAGGACAGCACTGGGATTCTGATAGTGATTCTATAGGATATGATTAATTTTCAAACCTGTATAAATGATATCCATAATTAAATTGCTTTAAAACCTATAAAAACTGAGTATGATACAAATTCATGAGGCCACACTTCCCCCTTTTGTGAAAGTCAGTTAGCGAAGTCTTCATCAGTACGCTGCATTTGATAGTTACTACATAGTTTCACTGAAATAGCTCAAGTCTGCTGTACCATACTGCATTATAGCTCACCCGTTCCATCTCTTTTACAGGTTTTGCTACTTTATGCTTATAATACAAAGCCTGTCAAGATTAGCAACATCAAGATTTTCAGTTCAATGTCTACGTTTTCAGGCCACTTGTGGATTCCGTTGGCTAGGTAAATAATCACTGAGTTTATCCTGTTATTTCATGCTATATTAAAGATCAGTCAACCATTTAGGATGAGAGAAAATAAAGTACAAAGTATCAAAGAGCTGTAAATCTTTAAAAGCATTCATTTTCATTTTTCAGAGATTTTTCACTGTAAAAACTGTAAGATGTTGTACACAGCATTAAACCCATCCAAACATACGCCTTTTCAGTACATTAGCATTTTAGTTTTGATTCTTAAAGAACTGAGTAACACATGCTAATTATATTACACTGGCATAGCGACGTAAGATAACGCTAGCAAATCTAAGAAGCAGTCCCAGCAGTTATTCCCGTTCTCTCACTGGATCATCTACTTTCTCCATCTCATATTACAACTCTGAGCATCCAAGAATTTTTCTCAGTTGTAGCTCCAGCCTCAGCCCTTCATTTTACATCTGATGACATTTTTCATTACTTCTTCCTTGTCCTTCATCTAGCCTCAGAATTTTTGGAACTGCTGAGCAGGTGGAGGGGAAGGAATAACAGTTGCAGCCCCTGCCACTCTTGTGCTGGTTGGATGAGAAAATCTTCTTGGAGAGGCATACTTAAAATACTACTTCTTACCATTTTTAATGCAAAAAGATAATGCATTCCATGTTTCCACTTTCTTTAATGGAAAACTTCTTTTTGTAAAATCATGAGACCAGTCTTGATATAAATGAAAATGTAGAACCTAATCAATATGTAATAAAAGCTAGGTTGGTTTAATTACAACCTGGAAACAACAAAGCTTGTCTTCTTTCAGAATTATTTCTTTACAGAAGAAATTATCTACTCTGAAGCAGCAAGTTGAAATGTTGATACCAATTTCTAAAAGCTTGTTTTCAGCTTCAGAACCTACAAGTTTTTTTGAACAAAGTGAAACTTTGGAAAGAATTCCTTCAAAAGAACCCAAAATGAATGTTGCAAAAGTGCATCTTGATGAAAAAACCCAAGTAAGTGAGAACAGTTCTGCTCTTAAATATGTCTGACTTTATTTAAGATGTCTGTTTCAGGGAAATAAATGACAGGTAACTTGGAAGGCAGACATAAAACATTAAACTTCCCTCGAGAAATGTTGAAATATTTTCACTTTTCACTTAACTTTTTCTTTTCCTTATATATTGCTTGTCACTTTACAAAAATATCAGGCATCTTCAGCTTTCCACTTGAAAATAAAGGCTACATCTTCTGGTACATAGATTTGAAAATTGCTGCCTAATTTATAGTAATCTACGTCTGAAAAAGCTTGGCAGAGTGTTAAATTAGCATGGGGATCAACCCAAAAGCGCTTTTTAAAAATCAGTTACACATCTTCAATGCAAAATGGGCAGTGATGGTTTCTGAAATAAGAACCTTCTAATAACGTTATTGAGAGAGGACTAAAGCTGGCAGTGAATTTATTTTCATTTTCTCTATGCCACCTTCCTCTTTTCTTTTTATTAGCAAGGCTGAATATGGTCCACAACCAAATAACACTCCCCCCCCCGCCCCCCATCCACACACAAAAGAGGTAATTTCAGAATTTTCCATGTGGTCTGTTTGAGATAATGTCATTGGAATAGAATGTTGCCACAGCATAACTTCTGCTTGATAAATGCCAAGGCAAAATAGACGTTTATTTTCAAAGTGGGAGACATTTATCATGTGACAGGATTCTCTTTATATCTATTATATGAAATGATTAATGATGTAGAGGCTGTCATTTTGTCTGATGGATGCTGTGAAACAGTGACAATTGTGCACTGTGCCATTATTACGAGGCTGTATTTTGACCAGCTTGGAGAACAAATGCTGTCTTGGCCAATCGCAGTGTTTTCAGGAGGGCAGACAGAGCTGTCCTTTAGCGGGCGTTTCTGATTACCTGAAGGGTTTTGCTCAAACTTTCATTAATATATGTCAGTAATTGGAAAAATAGTGTTTAGAATACTAATCAGATTAACATGCCATGCATTATACATGTATAAATATCATCTTGTCAGGGTGTTTGTTTATAATGTCTTCAGTAAACACGTAGCAAAAGTATGCTCACTCACTGGATTTAATACCTGAGCCAGGGACAATTTTGCCTCCGTAGAAACTGCAAGGTTTGGGCACTTGTGTTTGTAGAGCAAACACAACTATTTGTGTTGCAGAAAATTTATATTCATCAGCTAAGGTTTATTTTGCTGTGAATTCAATTAGAACAACTGAAAACTTGATTGTTCTGAAAAATTTTGTAAAGCTAAGCCATCTGTTAGCTTATCAGAGGAGACTGACAGTACAGCATGAGTTTTTTCTTGTTTTATACCATTAGGAAATGGCTAAAAGGTGTTTATCTGAAGTCAAAGCACTGCTGTCTGTTGTTCCAGCCCTGTCTGTCCCATTAACTGAGGTATGCTGTTCTCATTAATAGTAAAAATCTGCTTTCTAAAATAAAACAATTGCTCAGTTAAACTGAAACATGGATTATACCACTACGTATCTTCCCATTTTTTTCTCATACGTTGTTGGGCTGTCTGTTTGGGTTTTATTTTTTTCATCTTTACAAATACAATACAAAATGTGCATGATTACAAACTGAATAGCTTCACTGTTCATTAGAATCACCTTTTTATACATACAAAAATATATTGAAAATGACTGTCACTCACAATGGGTTCATTTAGCTTATCCACCATTCTCTGGTTATTGCTTACGCAGATGCCAGTGAATTTCCACAATGCAATTGCCAAATGCAATTTCCTTCCATCCTTATGTTTTTACGGTTAGTCAGGCTTTCCTTCTATTTTCTTTACCTTTCTCTGCCTTGCCCATGACATGACCTGAGAGATAGCATGCCATTTTTTTGTCCACACTGTTGTATTCATCTTGTACCCAGTTGTAGTCAGTCTCCCAGAGGAGACTACATGAGCTGGCCCGCAGTGGGCAGCAGCACCGGTCAGTGTTTCAGCCACCCTCGAGGTACCAGGAAAGGACCTCAGTTGCCAGGGCTCAAGGAATTTCCAAGGAAGATTTTGCAACCCACCGTAACATGTCACCCCCCCTACTAATCCTCAAATATCTTGCCTCTAATTGTTCACAACGGATTGGTAATGGATGAGGTATCCGCTGTACTCTCCTTTTCCAGTCAGGTAGCTCTTCCTACCAGAAAAGAATCCCAAGTTTTATCTGGGAACAGTTTGGCTAGAGGCCTATTACAGAAGGGAGAATCTATAACGCTGTCCTTTCCATCCTGCCGTCTGGTACCACTGAGTTCATACTCGCCTTTTATACATATTGCATCATTCTTGCCACCCCTTCTTATCCATCCTGAAGGTCTCTTTCAAATGACTCCCGGACCTTCGCATCACTCAGTCTCACTTTGTCAATGCATCAAAATACACGTGCATTCATTCTGCAAAACTGTACTTTTCACAGTCCCACTGAAATGTCTTCCATGGTAGAGAGATTTGACAGATACCTAGGGAAAGGTACAGCTGAGCTTTCATAGAATCCCATGGACCTCCTGGACCGGTTTTAAATTCTCATGAATCCCTCTTCACTTTGCCTCCTTCTATTTGTGGGTCTATGATGAAAATGAGGGAGCGGATTTAGTGGTGTCCTTCCAGTACAAATATGATGTTAACTGCTCTGTCTTATTCTGGCTAAATACCACAACAAGCTAAAATGTTTCAACATGTGGAATAATGGGCTTTTCATCACAAAGTTTCAGATGGAGACTTCAAACTAAGATCCTGTTAGATATGGCAGATTTGGTTGACCAACTGAAGCCTAACCTGTCCAGATGCTGAGTATCTTCATTCTTCTCTGAAGCCAACAGAACTTGTAGAGTGTTCAGCACTTCATTATGTACAGTGTATTTCTAAGTAGTATTTCCAAACTTTCAAATAAGTTGTGCGCATTACCCAGTCTTCTTGGTGAGAGTTGGAAAGCTCAGAGTGTGACTACGTATACCGTAGGGTAGTACATGCCCTTTGTTTTCAAGCATGCAGGAGAAGGCAGCAGATATATTGCTTTTATGTATGTTTAGATCATTTTTCCCCACCACACGCTTTGTTGTTGCTCATCTTCTTGTGAATTAATTGGACAAAGTCAGTTCTAATTTGTGGTATTTGTTTTCTCATTCTCCGAGCTGTCATACTTTAACTCCTATCATGTTTCCAGCTTCTCTTCTTTGATTCTCTTTTTTCTGTTTGCGTGTCTTACGGTGCTTTTGATTCAGCACTGAATTATATTTCTAAGTGGAAAAAGTGCATTTTTATTGAATTATTCATTGAAAAATATTTGACTGTTCGTGTTTTAAGAATAAAAATTGATCGGCCGTCTTGGTTTTAGAGCTATTTCATGAATAGCTATGTTCTTGAGGAAGATAATAAAGCACAGTGTTTGGGAGTTCCAATCTTAAATGTTAAAAGTAAATTCGTAACTAAAATAATTGCATTAAAAATTAACCTCTTTAGATAGCCTGTTCCAAGCTTCTCTTCCTTTAATTAGTTTTTCTTAATATCTAAATCAGCTAAATAGCTCTTCTCCATGTCCAGTGAACCAGTTCATCGTTGCCCTCTGCTTCACCTTTTACAGAGAGCTGAATTCTTTCAACTTCTCATCTTAGGAAAAGCCTTCCAAATAACTAATTGTTCTTGCTGCTCTTGTCCGACAGCTTCATTTTACCTACAGTCAGTCAGGATAAACATTGTGAGCAAGACTCTTCATAGACATTTCCTCCTCTTAGTCCCATTTTACTAGTTTCCTGCAAGAGATGTCATTAACCACAAATTTATATTGAGGTACTGTGTATTTCTAACTTACTCATTGGTTGTAGGTCAGAACTCTGGCTTTAATATGGAGCTATTTGTATATATGTACTTTCGGGCACCTATAAGCTTAATGAAGTTTTGTTTTTTTTTTTTTTTCAGATCCCATTTGATGTTACTTTGCAATCAATAGCAAGTTTGGAAGATATGTTTGATCCTGCCAATGGATGTGTAATAACTGAAGAAAGTCTTTTCGATTGGATCATTTCTCTGTTTTGCTAAATTCTATTTTTGCAATAACTTAATCAGTTGCTGAGTGCTATAGATTTAGACTTAAGTTCTTGTGTTAATGAAACAACCTCATTAATCACACCAGAACTTGGCTCCTAATGTGTTTTATAATTTTCATTTAAAAATTAATAGTTTTTAAAATTAGAATCTCTTTTTAGGAATTAAATGTATTAAAATTGGTTTCTTAATAAGAGGATTAAAAATTTGATTTATTCAATCATCTATAATTAAGTGAGTTTGTTGGGGTTTTTCTAGCTTTTCAATAATTTCTTATTATTTAGAAAAGCTGAATATGCTTGTAGCCTTCTAGCATCCGCTAATAGATACTGCTTTTTCCCCTGAAGTTTTGTTCTCACCAGCAATTTTGTAATTGCTTTTGCAGTTATCAAAAGTTGGTTTTATTTCTGAGATTTTTTTTTTGGCCTAAAATCATCACTGAGTTTATTCTTTTACACCTCTATGCAGAAACTAGCATTTCAGACTTTTCCATCTTTTGTTAAAGAAAAACACACCACCAGTTGTTGAGGGTGAAAATGATCATCCAGATGGCTCCATCATTTAAAGGATTTTTCTGAAAAGAAAAAAAAAAGCCAGTTTAAAAAATAAAAAGCCTTGGGTTGAAACGTCAGCCCCTTTCACTTCAGTCAGGCTCTCCCTGTGCTGTAGCCCAGTGATAAAGCGATAAAATATTTTGAGCTATTTGGAAATTGCAGATTGACCTTGGCTTGTGCTTTTCAGAGAAATGTTACCTGGTTGAGCGAAGTTTGTTTCACAGAGCGGGGGGGGAGAGATTCAGCATAGTATGTTCAATGCGATCAGTAACAGGAAGAAATGGAGTGACGGTTTCTGCTATTTTTCTTTATCCCTATACAAGAAAGAAGACGGGATATATTTGTGTTATGTGCAGCTTTTAAAAAGTTGTGCTATTTTTTATTTTGTTTAGCCTTTTCTGGAATGCTGCAGGTAGTAGGGAAATTAGAAGGATTATGATACAGTGACAGAAAGCAGATAGATAGTAGATAGAAAGTAAAAACTGAGTAATTGATAGGGAAGGTATTTTTGCAAGACAGTTTTAAAACTGAGTTAGAATGGTTATTTAACTCAATGGCCTAACAGCCAGTTTGGAGGAGATACTCCTTAGCATTATTCTTTCAATTAAAAGAATTTATTGTTCTGCAGTTCTGCAAAAAGCAGGAAAGATAAAAATTGACATTACTCATTTTTCTTTTACAAGGAACAAGTGGAAAATTGCAGCCTTTTTTTTGGAAAAGCTATTCGGTCTTCCCTTGCACTTTGTAAAAAGTGTAAACCTTTCTTTTTCTTTTTGAGGCCACCTTGAGAATTATCATAGGACTTCTGTGCAGCTTAATTAATATTTGTAAAACGCTCTATAGCATCAGGTGAAAATGGAAGTAAAGTTCTATTACAGACAAGGTGTTTCTTCAGTGCTGCCAGACTAGACCTTGTTATAATTCCTATACTTGAAAGAGAAATATTAAATAAAATGCTTTACATATGCATTTAAAATACGTTACATTTTCTAAGATATCTTTGTTGAAGCAAAAATATTATCTTACCATCTCCTTTAACACAGCACAATAAAATAAGAACGTTGAAACGTTGACCTCACTGTATCCATAGCAGCAGATTTTGCTCTCATAAACACAGGATTAAGTATTCAATGCAGGTTTCAGAAGAAAACATTGGAGAAAACATTTTTCTTTCAGCATATAATTAAACTCCTTAGTTAAAATCTGCGTGTAAGGAAGGATGCTCATATTTAAATGTTTCCAGTAATTGCAGAGAAAAAAAATATAAAGCTAATTGCAAAGTAAATTGCTTCTTGTTTTAGGTATTATAGTAGTTTGGGTGGGTTTTTCCTTACCAATGCAGACTAAAGCCTTCAATATGCGAGACTAGAATAAATTTGTGTCCACACCATGCTCAGTTAAATTTCTATAGAATACTTGTCTGTGTCACTGTCTCCAAAATTAAAAAGGAAGAGAGGAAAGGCACCTTCTTTGAATTCACGGTCAGAAGTGTAAGGGAGGGCCGTTCTGGTGCCTGGGGGTCTGCTCACTGATCTGCCCCATCCAACACTACCAAAGGGCTGCTTAACCGCCTTGGCAGCTTTGAACCACTCGCAGCTTTACGAATTCTTTTCCAGTTTTAAGGGAAATATTTCTCCATTCCACATCTGCAAAAGGAATGGATAGTGTTTCCGTATCTGTTGTGTTATCCGTATTGTGGGACGGGGCAAGGAAAGAGAGGGAGCAAGCACAGAGGGGACAAATTGAAAGGATTCAGAAATGGATGACATTTTATCTGCAGTGCATCCCCTGGGTGAGGGACAAGAAGCATCCTATGGGGAACTAAAGAACAGTAAAAAAGGGTGGGTTTTTGCTTTTCTTTTTTATAATTCCTTTGGTATTGTCTGTCCTGTGAACTGAAGTAAGCGTCCTGAGAACATAACCAGCCTCTGGTCCTGTAATTCATAACTGCATCATTGAGAATGTGCTAAGGCTCAAATTGAAATTGAACAGGGAGCTTAACATTGACAGGTCTGAATGGGTTTTAGAATACTTCATTTTTCAAATGCTCCTTCAATATAGTTTTAAGTTATATTGCTGCCTTGATGGAGAGTTGTATATTCAAGGCATTCACAGGATTTGTGTCATGCCTACAAATATACAGCCACCTGAAATGACTTCTGGTTAAATTAATTTTATGATGTGGAAATTAGTAATTTCACACAGATTTATTCAGTTGCGTGTGACTGGTTTTAAAATTCCACGACAGCTCCAATTCACTCTCATTTTTTGTTGGCCTAATTATTTATCCAGTTTTTGGATGACATCAATCTAACAAAATAATCCTAGTAATTAGCCTCACTATGCCTCAGTTTCTTTATCTGAAGATAACAGTAATCCCTTCATCAGTGAGGGACTTGAAGTTTTCTGCATCAACACTTGGAAAATATTTTCAGATCCGTGAATGAAAGAGGCAGGGAATTGAAGTTATTATTCAACTGAGACACAATGTAAAAGGGATAGTCATTTGTTTCCAAATTCATTTTCAGTGAAATCCAAGAAGAAAGATTTTTTTTTTTTAAAAGAATAATGATGGAACTAGAATTAATTGCTGGAATTACAGGCTAATATGCTGAACTAATTAAGCCAGCAAAGAGATCCATTTATGTTTGCCAAAGATTTTCTTTGAGTTAAAGATACTGAGTACATTGTCAAATGAGAGAAGTGAAAATATGAAGCATAGGTTAATCTTTAAAATAGAGTGGGTGAAAGGGTCCAGAGGCAAGTGCTGAAGTCAAATATTTACCACTGCAATTTAATTTTCCACTTTGAAACCCCAGAGATAATTGGAATTATTCTCATTTGTCTCCCATGTCAGCATGATTTAGGATTCTACTTAATGCACAAAGAAAAAAAAAAGTCTGTGTTGAAGCGAATTACACCAAAAATCTCCATGTCACGCAGTGGAAAACCAGAATATGCTTCATAAGAAATCATCACAAGGTGATGGATCCGGCTCTGTAGTCCATCTGGGCTGTTCTCAGGAGAGCTGTGTGGAGGGCGAAGCTCTATAAAGACTCAGTGCGCCTTCAGGGCTGGTCTAGTTCCTGGCCAGACATCCGGAATTGAAAAGAACATTTCTGCAGCCACCAAAAAATAACAGTGTCCTAGGCAAAGCTCTGTGCTTCTTGGCAGCCGTGTGTTCTCCTCACCGAGGCCTGGCGGGGTCGGCACAGGACCCTCTGCTGTGGGTCTTCCCAACGCGCGAACCACAAGGGCCCGACGGCTCTCGTGGCTGCTCTGCACCACGGGAACAGAGTGAGGTCTGGGCGTCACGCTTCGCGCCTTGCTTCATTCCCCATGGATACTGGCATTGTGTTCCTAGAATATGGCAGAGCGAGAGGTAAAAATCAAGATTCTGTTTATCCTATAAAAATTATTATATACATTTTATTATCATACAATATGTAGTGTATTAAATAGCTCTGTTACGTCCTTATGATTCCACTACCAAGTGGAACAATACCAACTACTTTAAAACTGCTTTAGAGAACAATTGTAACTGTGAAGAAATCCAGGTTGTTTTTTCCCCAGCATCCCAAGAGGTCTTATCCCCCAGGAACTCTGCTCCTCATTCAGAACCTACTGTCACCGCTGCTACATTGAAAACCTTGTTTATGGGCAAAGAGGAAACCAATGTATGCATAGAGCTAAAAGTTTATTGGTATAATTGAAATCTTAGCCTAATCCAAGAATCACTATATATCCGGGTCTAATTATTATGGGGAAAGAAAGAATACTTCTATGTAGAAAAAGTTTAAATAGTAATAATACAGTTAAAATTACTATATAAACTGTTACTATTTTTACCGTTTTTCACTGACACTTCCACTGCTCCCCTGGGTCTGAACGTCAGCGGTTCCATGCTAGTGTGTGTGTGAGAGGAGCTGTTAGGGCAAGTCATCGGCCAGGCAGAATACAATGCTGATTCTTTCTCCTCCCTCACTCTAAGATCCATTTTGGGTAATTTTTATATTTTTAACCCACTTTTACATCTTGCTCTTTCTTCACGGTTTTGCAGTTCCACATTACATCTAAATTCAATATACATGGTGTTTTACACACATTAGGTACTCGGTTTTAGTTCTCTTTGTTACCCCTGAAAACTGCTTTTGTCCAGCATAAGGTCTGCGAGACTTTAACTGACGGTGAGTCATTTGTAGCTATGGGGTCTCCAGCACCAGGGATGTGCCCCATCCCTTCTCCCATGCCTGTGATCCTCTGCTGTGTCCAGAGCCTCCACTTCTCAAGGCCTCTGCTGTCCTGCCCGGACTGCGTATCTCTACACTGCATCATGATGTCAGTGGCGATGCAACTACCATCTTTTTTTCTTCTCAGTGGTAGGAAATT